AATGAATTTCAAATAACAAAAGAAACAAAAGATTACAACTTTCTTAAAAATAAAACGCAAGATCCGTTTAATCGGCTCTTTGCTAGCGTGGGTTCTTTGCGCGGTGCCAGGGGTTAAATTCCGTGACGACTCGACTCAGCGATCCGGTTGCAAGAAAATTTGGGCAGACTTACTACCTCACCAGAGGGGGTATTTGCTTGAACGTCCTGGAATCGACAAAAGCGATAATCAGGGCTCTTCTCTGAATTAAGACAAGAAGCCTAATGCTCAAGGAACGGACGTACCTGACGCTTCGGATCCTTCGAACAGGCTTCTCCTTTGCTCCGAAGTTCGCCGGGATCTCGCTGTCCTTTGCTGAAATTTTCGTTACTCCTTCACATAGCTCCAATCCAGCAGCCAACCTCGTCCCTCTTGATAAATTCCAGATCCAGAAAATGGAGGCCTTTGGTTCGTATTTATAAGGCCTTCAAAATGCGGTTATTTGAATACAGAACAAGGATTTGTCTCTATCTTTAGTCAACAGGCAGGCCTAACCACAGTTTGAGGATGATCTCAAGTCAGTAAGAACACCCTGGAACGCGTACACCCTGCAAAAAAAACCCAATTAAAAACCGTCAAACGTTTTTGGGACATTAGACCTGCGCGGAAGAAATCACAATCTGACCGCGCTCAGCGCGGGTTCGGAAATAATCGCGACCCGCGATCAATAGAGCGCGGGTCGGAAAGATCGCGAACCCGCACTGCAGACATCCCGATCTCGCGCGGGTCGGAAAACATCCGACCCGCGCCTCTTATGCGCGGGCCGGATAATGCCGACCCGCGCTCGCGCGGGTCGGAAACATCCGACCGACGCGCATGCCGCGGGTGGAATCAATCCGACCCGACGCATTGCGCGGGTCGGATTGATCCGACCCGCGCATTGCGCGGGTCGGATTGATCCGTGCCCGCGCTTGCCGGCGGCGTCGATCAGTCGTCCTGCGCTTAGCACGGGTTCGCCGACGTTTCTCTTTTTTTTTGGTTTCTTTTCTCCGGGACTGTTCTTGTGCGATTCGTTCGATTTGTGCGACTTGTATGCCGTCGAGACGATCGTACGAACGCAGCGTTGGTTAACATATCGCGTGCTGACATCGATGCGCGCGGGCTAGATGACGTGCGTGCGTTTGAACTGGCGCGCCGGAGTGATTTTGACGTGGCACTCGTTAACATGGCCGCGCACGAGTTTGGTTGACGTGCGCGCGTTGACCGACGCGCCACGAAAATGATTTGACGTGCGCGCGTTGACCGCGCGCACGAGATGATTTGACGTGCGCGCATTGACCGGCGCGCACCGAGATGATTTGACAAGTGCGCGCAAATTGACCGCGCGCATGCATGGAGTTGGTTGACGTGCACAGCGTTGACCGCGCACACGAGTTGTTTGACCGTGCACGCGTTTGACCGGGCGCGTACGAGTTGATTCGACGTACGCGCGTTGACCGACGCGCACGGGCATGATCCAAACGTGCGCGCTTTGAATTCATTTGTAACGCTTAAAGTTTAATGAAATCAATGACTAAGGTGACTTTCGACGAAAACAGGCCCTGAGCTTCTTTATTCTCAAACCGGTCTCATTTTCGACCATAGATTTTCATCTCCGAATGCTTCAAATACTTCTGACTTATGCTTCAGAAGTAGAGCCATACTTTCTGAGAGTGATCATCGATAAAAGTCACGAAGTAGTGTTTACCACCAATGGACGCGGTAGTGGTTGGTCCCTAAACATCTGAGTGAACGAGCTCTAGTTTCTCTTTCTAGGGGGTTCTACCACTTGTCTGAAGCAGACTCTCTTCTGCTTTCCAAGTAGGCATTCTTCACACATATCTAAATCAACTGATTCTAGATGTGGGAGTTTCCCTATGAGTGCATGATCTTCATCCCCTTCTTACTCATATGACCGAGTCTCTGGTGCCACAGCTTTGAAGTCTCATTGCCTGTTGTAACTGAGATAAAACAACGTGCACCTACTATCATATACAGGGTATCAGTCTTCTTGCCTCGGGCAATCGTCATTGCGCCCTTTGAGATCTTTCAATAATCTCTATGGAAGGTCGTAGTGTATCCTTCGCCAGCAACTGGCCTACGGATATTAAATTCTTTCTCAGGTCGGGAATATGCCTGACATTCTTCAGCTCTCATACTGACCCGTTCAACTTAATTTTTACTACACCTTTGCCCATAATAGCACACAGTTGATCATCACTAAGGTATACATATCCAAGATTTTCGAGGACATACTTCTCGAAGAATTCTTTTTGAGAAGTGGCATGGAACGACGCTCCTGAATCTAACACCCAAGATTCCTCCTTGCTCTCCAAAGAGCATATCAATGCATCGTCTCCTCCTAAATTGGAAGTGACATTCACCTCTGCCTTCGCCTCCTTCTCCTTCTGTGCACTCTTACACTAATTCTTGTAATGCCTGGTCTTTCCAACATTCCAACACTCGATAGCCTTCGAGTTGTTGCTTGGATTCCTGGATTTGAACCTCATGTCCTTTGATCTACCTCTGTAGTTTGATTTGCCTTGCCCGTTCCCTCTGGTTGAATTTCTACCTCTTGACTCTGTATGTAATATTGAAGAGGTTATAGCTTCACCCGACTCTCTCCGTCGAATCTCCTCACTGAGAACCAGATCACGAACATCATCGAACTTCAACTTGTTGCTTCCCGACGAGCTACTCGCTCACAGCTGTGATTGTAGCATTCTAACTCTCTGGTAGGGAATACAAAAGTATTAACGCCCGAACTTCCTCATTAAACTCAATTTCAACTGAACTCAATTGGGTTGTGACCATGTTAAGTTCATTAAGGTGTTGTGCTACTGATGCACCTTCCGTCATTCTCAGATTGAATAACCACCGCATCAAATAAACTTTGTTCGTGGTTGATGGCTTCTCATACATATTTGAGAGTGCTTCCATAAGACCCGCTGTGGTCTTCTCCTTTGCTATGTTGAACGCAACATTACGGGTCAACATTAATCTGATAACATCAAGGGCTTGTCTGTCTAGAAGGTTCCACACATCCTCCTTCATAGACTCCGGCTTCTTCCCTAAAAGTGGTTGATACAGATTTTTCTGATACAGATAATCCTCTATCTGCATTTTTCAGAATCCAAAATCTATTCTATCAAACTTCTCAAGTCTCACTTTTTCTTCATCTGTGGCCATGGCTCCCACTTGAATCTGACTTTCTCTAGA